TCACCAGTCTCATGCCCCCCCCAAAAAAAATTTAAAGCTTGTCCACACGTAAATAAAATTTCAGTTAATTAAATAATCATCAGTTCGATTCAAAACTATGAAAATATAAATGATAGAAAATAAGCACACAGCAAAAAGAAAAATCCATAAGGAAAAATAAAAAGATAAACACGGGTTAGTTCTGAGGACTTTGGTTATTTTTGTAAATGCAAAAAGTATCAAAAATAAATTTGATATCTTTATAGTTGAATTTAAAGCATTGACAATGTTTAAAATATATTACGAAATCAAAATCCATAAAAAGGACATCTTAATATCTTATTAATTATTAATCCTCAGAAATAATTTTAGAAATTTTTTTGTCCCCCAGAAAATGAAAACCAGTTATACTTTCCTCAGCCTTTTGGCTAACATCAAGAAAATGAAAAATAATTATATGTCATAAAAAATGTCGCTCTACACTTGTAGTAAAAAAAAAAAAGGAATTAACTTATATAAATTTTTTCTTTATAATAATAATGAAATTTGGTGGCTCAATGGTCACCTATAATTTAAAAATGCAAGTGGCTGTGGTATCAAGTCTCAATTTTACTAGTTACCCAAAAATATTTCTACCCCTAGTGGTAGGCCACCACCTTCTTTATGTGTGATTTTTCCCCAAAAAAAAAATCTTCTAAATCGCTTTTTCAGTGATAAAAATATCTTGTCATGTGATCTCATAATGCTTAATCAAAAAATAAAACATTACAGGTTTTGCCATGGTTTTTTAGTTATCTATCATCAATAATAAAAGTTTTTACAAACTTAATCTTATAGGTACATCATCCCAATAAATGCATTAAATAAAGGTTAGTTGAGATGTGGCTCACTACGACTAGAATATACTACTATCTCATAGCTCAAAGAATATTCACCAAAGTATTTAAAGATCATCCGCTAAAATGATTTTCATTTCAGCAGTAAAATTCAAACCTCACACTTCTTGAATGTATGTGCTATATATATTATATTCGTATAAACTAAAGCAACCTTAATTTTGTTAGGATGTTATTCTTTAGTACAATTTTTCAAAATGCTTTAAAAAATTACACATAATGATCCCTTCAAGTCTCTGTTGTAGAAAGTGTATTATTAGATTGATTGTTTATCTTTTAAAATATATATACATATAAAAACACATACACTTTTGTTGCCACATACGATATATAAAATCTGGGGAAAAAAAAGAAAATTCTGGACTATTTACATGTGTTTTGGAGGTCAATTGTGGTATTTTCATTTGGGTAAACTAAAATGATATTACCAAAGTTACACGCCTACATGAATTGTTTTGTGTGAAATGGGGTATGACTTTGAGGTCTACTCATAAGTTAAGCATTCCCATTGATATTGGGTCATTGATATATAATACATCCAATGAAGAGTATGGACAATATGTCCGCACATGCTTCTTCCCAGTGGTTCTTTTGAAGGATTTTTCTCCATCTATGACCTACAAGGCTGACCATATATGAAATAATGCGATGAAAATGAAAACATCTTCCCAGATGTGAAACTGACCTTATGTTTGGTATGATTGAAATGGAGAACATGAAAAAATTTAATGAATTTGATTTATTAAAATTTTTAATTAATTTTGCTTACTATTTTGTCTTATATCTTCCCTTTATTAAAATTTTATAACTCTACTTCTTCAATTTTTTAAATTGAACTCATTAAAATTTTTCCTCTCCACTTCCCTCATACCAAAACATAAGGGGCAAAGGTTCTTTTCATTAGGAACATGGGATTACTCTATGACCTATATAATACGGCGATAATAAAAATATGACTTTTAATGTAATAACGGATCATTTGTAGGATGAAAGTTTTTTCTAGTTACTAGCGTAATTTTATTTTTCTTTCATTGCATTAACTTCTTTCAATGACTTAATATTTGAAAAGTCTCCCATACTATGTACACTATAGTGATGAGCACTATAATATTTATTACTGCGGTGAAAGCTACGCCATTTCAATATAGTTGTAATAAGCTAGATTTAAAATTTTTAACTCATGATTTCTAAATAAAAAAATTTAGAGTTAAGACTTGAGAGATTACACTTATTTTGGATCATGTACCTATTAAAGGAAAACATTTTTAAAAGAACAAAATATAAAAAATTAAATCTCTTCATCCATATTAAATTTAAATAGTTAAGATTTAATAAGTATTATGGTGCTCATTACTGCAATGAACACCGAAATTGGTTCATGTGCATGCTGGAATTTAAATAAATGCTATTTAACTATTAATGTGTTTATCAATAAGGGGAAAATAGAAAACAAATCATTTAATATCTTCTTAAAATATTAGAAAGACACATATTATGAGACATGTTACAAAATTTTGTGATATCTATTATGAAACAGAGGGAGTAGCTTATTAGTAGCATGCACATTGAAACCTTTTAAATAATTAAATTGGGCATAAATTAAGGAAAACGCTATTTTATAATTAGTGATTTTATAAAATTTAATTGTAAAAATAAAGTATATTTTTGCTATCCGCAATGACAAAGTAAAAATTAACGCGTTTTTCTTTTTTTGCCTTTTACATTTATGCTCAACTTGTTTGGTTGTTGACCATAATATATTTTGGTTTAGTGTTATGTCAATGTCTTTAAAGGCTTATTTTTAAATGATTTTTTATTATATGCGAAACAATTAACTGAAAAGAGTTGTCTCGTGCACAACAGTTTCTTTTATAATTTTTATATCAATTTTGGAAATCTTAATTTTTCAAAGAGAAAAAAATTATTTAATTATGACTTTTATCACTATTTATGCAAGTTAAGCTTGCCATTCTTCTCCTACAAGTTAACATTAGGATTTACTTGACTTACAAGTCTTTGTTTGAATATAAATATAGATTAATTAAATAATACAGTGAGATAATTAATGCAACCATTTTCCAAGCGAATATGTATGATAGTTCTAATAAATATTACTTTAGACAAAAAATAAATTAAATGTATTGGAGTGAGTAAGGTCATAATAACAAAAAACCATGAAAATAATTTCTTCCGACTTCTAAAAAGGCAAATAAAATGAAACGGAAATTTTTTTTAAAAATTATATATTTAAAATTGGAGAAAGTACTTATTATATGCACTAATCAAATTTTCTACTAAATAAGTTGAAAATAGTCCTAAAGAATCCTACACGGAGATCCCATCATCTGCATTGGGCTTATGATTCCCAAAAAAAAAAAAAAGGATGCAAGTGAAAAAAAAAAAAAAAACAATGATGAAGCATACATCTTATATTCTTCTTAGCAACAAATGTGCCTTATTATTTCTATAGCCACTTTTATCTACGCTGCTTTTCCAGACCCTTTTAAAGCGCCAGATCGTTTAGACCAGTTTCGTGCGTAAGACGATCTTTAAAGGAACAACTTAACCCCCAAAAAAAATCTCGGCTCCCAATAAATCTTATCAGTTTTGATGTAATTAATTATTGTCATGAAAATATTTTTATAAATTTAATCATTATAAGTAGTTAAGTAAACATCGAACTCCCAATAAATGTACTAAACAAAATTTGGCTGGGGGCAGCTCACCAAGAATGTATATGATCTTATCATTCAGTGTAATTTTTCAAAATTTTTCTTTAAAATTGCACAAAGCAATTCCTGTGAGTCTCGAGCTTAAGAACGGATTATTAGATTGAAAATTCTGCTTTTCGAAATATGCAGACAAAAAGCTATACTTTTTATGCCACCTACAAGAATGCATACTTTTAAGAAGTGTATTTTCTTAACTTCTTTTCCTTTTAGTGAATATTTATATTATAGATTGATTGTGTAGTTAATTTTCCTTTTTATATTCACCGCGTTGCTTTTAATTCTTTTCATGTAGATGAGGTGATTATCTCTTACTTCCTTTTAAATATATTAGGTGTGTGTAACGGTGGTAATTTTTTTCCCCCCGAACCAAGATCACATTACCAAAATAAAAATATTCATATAAGGGGAGATATTTAGAAGCAGTTTACTATGAAATGGAGTGTGCCGAGTTTGAGGTCTAGTATCAAGTCAAGCACATCACGCATGTATCTGCAATGAAGAGTTATCATAATCACTAACGTATATTTTGCGTTATTTTGTGACCTATATAATAAAATGATCATGAACATATGGTTCTTAATGTGATAACATATCATTTGCAGGGTCAAAATTTCTTCTCACTACTAATGTAATTTTTTTTTTCGCTTTCATTGTATTAACTTCCTTTTCAAGATAACTTAATATTTGAAAAGTGTCAATCACGCGATGTGCTTACACTAGAGGTAAATGGATGAGTTCTCATAATTAAAATTGGTCCTTATTAAACTATTTTTTTGTTTTACGAGACAAAACTCTGCTAATATAAGCTCTGCTAATATATTTATCTTGTACAAGTACAAAATTATTTTTAAAAAAAGCTAAATCAAACACCAATAAATGTGTTTTTCTAAGCTCTACTGTCTATTTTATACCAGCACTATTCTATACTAATTATTTTAAGTAAGAAAGATTAAAAAAAAATAACGAATTTTTATCCTCAGTTGAACTGTCCTTAATTTCTAAAGGAATGAACTTTGAAGAATACAATAATCACCGTCCATTCCACTCCACAGGTCATTTTTTTATGAAGACTTTGGTTGTTTCTGTAAATGCCAAAAAAGATTAAACAAACATGATATTCTTATAGTCGAATTTAAAATATTGAGGATGTTTAAAATATAATATGACATCAAAATTCACAAAAAAGAAAATTAAATAATACACCATCGGCTCGCCCCGACTCTTATGTTCGCTTTCTCTGTTTGGCTGTTAACCGTACAGAAATTGAATAATACAGTGATAATATCGTCCTCAAACTCAAAGTGATAGCTTTTCGGCCAAAAAAAAAAAAAAAAAAAAAAAAAAAAACTCAAAGTGATAGCTGAAGAAATTGAGGACCATATAAATTGTTTTTAATGGGTACCTCGAAGATTTTAATTTATATTGAAATTTATTATTTGTTTTACTTGCAAATTTCCATTAGATGATGATCATGCTATGAGTCTCATATTAGGAATCTCACAAGTATTGTAGAGTTTATAAGTATAAGGGTCTTTTCATCTTAACAGGTTAGTCTTTTGAAATTGGACCTCTCTTTGAGTTTATGTTCATCACATTAATACTTTTATTAAAAGCCAAACATTCATAGAGAGGGCTACCCACAGAGAATTATGACCAGTAGGAGGCTAAGTGAAGTGCTATGGTGTGAAGCCACCAAGGACATAAACTCTCAAGGGGGTGTATGGTTATGAGTCTCTCGTTGGAGAATCTCATAAGTGTTATGGGATTTATAAGTGTAAGAAGTTACCCCTTCTAACAGCTTAGTCTTGTGGGATTAGGTTCTCCCTTTGGGCTTATGCTCATCATAGATCAAGAGTTCCTTGAATTAGCTACAAGCAAAGTTAAAAAAAAAAAAAAAAAAAGCTAGAAGTTTATCAAATCATATATATTATATCATGAGAGATTGGGTCTAGGGAAATGGGGTAGTCCCTTATAAAGTGGCAAATCAAGGTTTGAAACCTTGCTGGAAGAAGTACCAATATTGAATATCTAATAGTGACTTGAATAGGATTGTCTCTAATAAGAAGATATTTATGCGTAACAAAAAAAATTATGTATATTATTTATTATTGACTGAAATAACCACTTGTAAGAATGAGAAAGAACAAAATACAAAGATTTCTTTCATCAATTTAGATTTCATGTAAATTATAACGAAGCATTTTATAGATGGTAGAATTTCTATATCCATAAAATCACAAAGTTCTGTTTGGTATGAGAGAAATAGAGGAGAAGAAAGGGGAGGAAAAATTTTAATGAGTTGTACTTAAAAAATTAAAGAAGTGGGGTTTTAAAATTTTAATAGAGTGAAGTTGTAAAATAAAATAATAAAAAAATTAATTAAAAGCTTTTGACTCCATTTTAATTTTTTAAATCAACTCATTAAAATTTTTTCGTCCCTTTCCCTCCATTTCCCTTATATAGGGTAAATATGTCCAATAATGAAGAAAGAAATAATAGCCTCACAAAAATATTAAAAAAATAAAAATGGAAATGCATGATTAAAGGAGCAATGTATCTTGACCATAAATAAATTATGCAATGAAAGTATGGTCCCAGAAGTAAAATTACTCGACAAGCAATGAAAGGGACGAAGCTTCTCGTTAACATACATTTTGAATTATTTTACACCCCACCAGGCCACCAGACTTGACCACAAAGAAAATAATGCAGTCAAAAAGTATCGTTAAACGCGTGTAGAAACAAATATAAACGTACGTCCAGCATACGAGTTAACTTTTTAGTTGAATTTCTTCTAATCTTATCACTAAAGACACCCTTTTAATTTCCAACTCCGCGTTTTGTTAGTATGACTTGACTTGATTCAGAAAACGGAGAAGTATGAAATGATATATGTGTTTGTGTCAATTCCTGGTTGTGCAAGATTTGATAAGTTTGATATGATCAATATGGGAAAACCTTCTTCCTTTATCTTCCTCTTCTTACTTCATTGCTTCACAGTCGCCTTTGCTTCGATGCCTACAAACATTACTACTGATAGATTCGCACTTCTTGCCCTTAAATCCTTTGTCACTTCAGATCCATATGATTTCTTAGCTAATTGGTCTGTCTCTTCTTCTCCATGCAGCTGGGTTGGTGTTACTTGCAATATTCATCATGAAAGGGTTCAGTCCCTAAATCTTAGTGGCATGGAACTCAAGGGTACCATATCCCCACAACTCGAAAATCTCTCATTCCTTGTTGAACTTGATCTCAGTGACAACACTTTTTTTGGTCAAATCCCTAAAGAGTTAGTTCGATTGCATAGATTGAAACTATTCAACTTGAGCTACAATGACTTTCATGGGCCAGTTCCAACATGGATAGGAGATTTGTCTTCACTTGAGCAACTAAGTCTTCAAAATAACAATTTTAATGGATTTATTCCATTATCTCTTTTCAATCTATCAAGGTTGGAGATCTTGGATTGGAATTTTAATCTCATTGAAGGGATCATTCCACTGGAGGTGGGCAAACTTGAGCGACTCAAGATTTTACGACTTAGTCATAACAAACTTTCAGGAATCATTCCCCAAACAATTTCCAATTTATCTTCGCTTGAGTTGTTGCATTTATCCTATAACACTTTGTCAGGTATGTTTTGGATTACTTTCAATAATTATATTTGTCTTTGTTCTATACTAGTGTATTTGGTTAGTAGGATCGTATTCTTGAGTAATTTGAGTTTGTCTTTTTTTATTTATTCATTTTTTGTATTTTTATGAATTTTCTTCTTAAATTTTGCCAACATATTTCTATTCTTTTTTCAAAGAAAAAAACCACTTGTCATCCAATTCTTGAAACGTAGTATATAGTCACAATTTTTTTTATTAACTTGTCATGCCTGAAAAATATATGTAAATGGTCTCATGTACATATAATAACTTGTCATGCCTGAAAAATTGTTAGTGGCATTGATTTCTTTTTCTCCCCTGATATTTCAAGGAGCCATTTCCAATGAGATTGGTGATCTTTGACAAGCAGAAATATTGTGTTTAGAAAGAATCAACTTTCTGGTCTGGTTTTATGATTAACTGTATTAAAAAAATTCTATTCCAGTATTTCATAAGATATTAGTGAATAATGATTTTGAACTGAGATTTTGTTCCCCATCATTTAGTTTATGTCACAATTTTCACACACATGTAAAGGTGGGTTCACAAGTTGCTCCAAAAATCTTTAAGAACCAAAATAAAATATTGAGTCATTAAAAAAGGGGAAGCCCCGTGGAAGATAATCTGATGAGGATGATGGAAAGGACTAGTTGGGATTCCAATGTTCTTTCTAGATTTTTATTTTTCATTTTCACCCCATATTTTATTTTCAATGGCAAGTTTTTCATTTTTTTTAATATAGATAATCCATTAGAATTTAATAAACACGCATAATTATTGACCTTAGAGTGTGTAATATTCGCAAATACCATTTTTACTGTTTGTTTATTGAAATATTAAAATGGCCCTATACAACACTACTTAGAGTAGTCACACGGAATTGAAGGGTTGAACTATTTTTTACCTTTATGAATGATATTTCCATTTTGGATCATTTGTAATTAGCTGTTTATGCTTAGAGACATCCTTAAATCCGAATAATCTGATTATTTATATATTTATGTTAGCTTCTCAAAGTAAAAAGAAAACTTCAGATGTATTGGAAACAAATATGACATGCCACTCTAATTATTTTTATTTGAATTTTTTAATTTGCTGTAATCACGTGAGATGTCATTCTGCAGTTTGTTAGGTGTGTTTTGAATGAATCTGGGCTGTCTCCTTTTTCTCTTTTAGACTCCATCATTTCTCTATTCTTTTTTCACGAATAAAACCCAATTCGTCATCCAATTTTTTTGTAATGGTTAGGAAAGTTATACCATAGGGAAAAAGAATATTGTTATAATATTAGTCTGAACAGATCTTTTAAGGTTCATTATCACTCTTTGAAACCCAAGGCTTATTATTATGTTATTAAAAAGTTTTTGAAGTTTTATTTTTTAAATGAGCAAGCCTTATAAGCAGCATGCATATTTGGAATTGGAACCTTTCATTTTAATTTGGATGATATAAAATATTAAAATATATCTTAATTTTATTATTTATTATTAATTTTTATTTTAAACTCATAATCTTATTTGTTGAATGAGACGAATGCAGCTTACATGATGTATAAGAATTTCCCAGAATTAATTAATCCTCCAAATCTAAAAAAGATAGCAAAAATAAATCTGAATTAATCTAATATAAATTACAGAATAATAGACTGAACTGAAACATAAAACACTGTGTAATGAATTGAAAGGGTTATTTTTCTATAAAGTAAGTATTGTTGTGTTTTATTATTTAGAACATATTTATGTTATTTCTCACAATTGTGCAAGTCTTTCAATATTTATAAAGTGAAATAATCATTTTTGCTATATGAAAGTTGATATTGACATGTTGTTTATCATTTAATATTGGAAGGAGCCATTCCAAATGAGATTGGTGATCTTCGACAACTTCATACAATATATCTTTCAACTAATCAGCTTTCAAGCACTATACCAACCTCCATATTTAATAGTTCAGTGCGACAATACATTGAACTTAACAACAATAATTTATCTGGGACTCTGTCAACAAATGTATGTTTTGGGCTTCCAAAACTTGAAAAACTATATCTCCATGAAAATGATTTGTCTGGGAAGATACCCTCCATTTGGCATCAATGCAAGGAATTGGTAGAGTTGTCATTGGGGGATAACAAGTTCAATGGAAGAAACATACCAAGTGACATTGGAAATTTGACCAAACTTGAGTGGTTATATCTTAGTGGCAGCAACTTGCAAGGTAAGAGTTTTAATTATGATATTCCAATTAGATAAATTGTTGTCACGAATTGAATCCAAAATAAAGGAGTTAACTCATATTATTTTCTTGCATTATAATGTTATGTTATTTTTAATTTTAGCAACCAGGGGAATCAAATCCTACCAACTCCACTTTTCTTCCTTTTTAGGGGGAAAAAAAAAAGTTCCTTCGGGCAAAAAAATACAATGCTCTGGCAAAAGTTCCAAACTTATTTAAAAAAATAACGGGCCATTTTTGTAATTTTTCATGAATTTTAAAATTCTAATTTATTTTTTTTTCATTTTCTGTAATTTTTGAAGTGGTAGGTGCCTACAATTTCAGGCCTTTTTATCTAAAATTTTCCCTAATGATTTCTCATAAAATTATACCAAACAATTCTTTCATGCAGACATAAATTGCTGAAAAAGTAGTCTAATATGCCATACATGATTAATTAGAAATATATAAAAAAAAATATTTAGTCAAACTTAGCGTACTGATTTGCAATATCAAAAGGTAATAACACAAATA